TTTTACATGCTTTTATGAGGGAAATACAAATTAAACATGCTAGTTATCATATCAATCACATGTGATTGATAACCCGCATGCACAAGGATTCATTACACTGTCAACTGTTTTACCAAGTATGATACTAGAAATGGTTTTCTAAAACGTCTTTATGTGTTCAAAGCTTTTCTCAAATTGCCCCTCGTGATGTATGTTTTATTTCAAACTCTGTTACAGCAGCATTTTAAATAAAGGTTTTCTCTACTTTATCAAGGTTATAATCAAAACTTGTTTATGAATGATTTTCTTAAAGTATAAAGGTTTTCCATAGATTTCATCAAAGTTTTCTTCCGTGATTTTGTATTCCTACTTTGTTAGATACTACTGCTTTGTTATACTTCCTCGTAGTTAATGCTACTACTTTGTTAACACCTTTACTTCGTGATACGCTTATACTTCACGATTCACTTATACTTCACGATTCGCTTATACTTCACGATACGCTTATACTTCACGATACGCTTATACTTCACGATACACTTATACTTCACGATTCACTTATACTTCACGATACGCTTATACTTCACGATACACTTATACTTCACGATATGCTTATACTTCACGATACGCTTATACTTCATGATACACTTATACTTTATGAAACACTTCTACTTCGTTAAACACTTAAACTTCGTTAAATGCTTCTACTTAGTTAAATGTATGCCTATGCTTGTATAGTTATATAAATAATGTTTAAAGGACTTAGGAAGGCTAGTTCTCCCTATTTCCTTTTCTTTGTTGAGATGTGGTCTGGTGGGATCGGATGTTCGTCCGAAGGTCGTTTGATCATTAGTTATGTATTATGTATACAAGCATAGACATATAGGTTTACATTAGTCAGTTCAGTTGTGAGCCTCTATCTTTAGTCCAATATTTCACATCAGATCTCACTACACGAGATACATCTTCAATACACGGCCTTCTCCGTTGTCAGGATAGTAACCAGAGTCTCTTGTAGGGATAGCAGACATTGTGTGTATAGCTATACAGGATTGACACCCCCGCACCCAGACTGCTAGCTACAGTCCATGGCCTACCAAGCCAAAGGGTGACAAATGTCATATTCACACCGACGGTTGTAGGGCATCAAGTTCTCTAGTGTTTATCAGTATGGTTACCAGTATCTCGGGGTTACCTTATAATTCATGGCCTTAAGGTAACGGGTTTTAACACTGTATTCACTGTATTTAAACCTTGCTAGACGTATCATTCTTTTGATACTGTCTGGGGTCTGTGTTCACTGTTCTTAGACCTTGCTAGACGTATCTTTCATTTGATACTGTCTGGGGTCTGTGTCTCCCTTTTTGTTAGACTGAGCCAGACATACCGTTCATTCGATACTCCCATGGAGTCTATGATTTCTTTTGCCTTAGTCAGCAGTATTCACTGCTGAGGCATATGTTGTTTTCCCTGATATTCTCCTACTTTCTTTCAAAATCAATACCACATTTTGATAATGATAGTGTTAAGGAAAAATTACTTTTTACCACATAACTTTGTCCAGTCTTGGTAGAAGATTACTTTTAATTAGAAAATATAGGGTTTTTTTGGAAAGGACTCTAATTCACTGTATACTTTAAAACTACTACTTATATAAAGTTATTTGGATAAAATGACACTAAATACTAATGAACTCACCAACATTTGTAAAAATGCTGATACTCACTTTTCAAATAACTTGTATTCTCAGGTCAGCGATAGACAGGTACATCTCAGGCGCTTTTTGTGAAGACCGTTTAGTACCAAGTTACATCTACATTATTACTTGTATTACTTTGAAGTTTCTATGTAATGTAAACCATGGAAAACTATTACTATTAATGCAATGGTTGTTGTACTTTGATTACTATCCTGCATATGTTGTGATACTTGACATGACGTCATCCACCCCATAATGTTTCTGCCGTTCCGGTCTTGGGGTGTGACAGATTGGTCTCAGATCATTGTTTATAGTGAGCTAAGTATATCAATTCATAAAAGATATACAACCTATAAATACATAGGGATAAAACACTCTAACCAAGAATTATACTTTAAAATATAACCATATTTTACCAAAGTATAAGAACATGCATAATCTAAACACTCGAACACAAGTATCACAAGAAGAACAAGAATAAAAGTCTTCGGATGTTGAGCATTACCGTCAAACCTAGGCAGTTATGTAATCATAAGCTGGAATAAATGTAACCTGATCAACTACATTTATTCGAGATGCGATGAACATGTGCTTGGGAGTGATAGTGGTGTTGCAACAAGTCTGAAACTTACCAACTAGGCATGCTAGAGCCAAACATAAAATTTAAAATACTATAGGAGTATTTTGGAATACTAAAAGACTCACACTAATCCTAGACTCATATTTCGAAGATAAGAAACAAACAAGAAATTAAAATACCATAGGGGTATTTTAGGATCCATAGATAACCTTGTGTGAAAAACTAAAAAGATCCTTATTGATATACCTACAACTACAGAGGGTATACTATCAAGGTTATATATAATAAGGATCCCATAGGCTAAGAATGTGTGGTTTCTCTCTACTTCCTTTTCCTCGTTGGGATGTGGATATAAAGTAGTATCACATATTCGAAGGCCTATCAGATCTAAGTTATATATGATTTGTATACCCTATGTAATCGTAGCAGGACTCAATATGGATCACCCAGTGAAATGTTAATAATCTCTTAAGATTCTTTAGACATTTCCATTCTCGCACGAACCTTATAGAAAACCCTATCCACTTCAGTACTCGACAGAATAGGTTCATTGAGAGGATTTCTAGTTAGGAAATAAATGAACCAAGACGAGACTATTGGAATCACCAAGTGCCTATATCTTTTTAGGGACATGGTGGGAAATTTGTCTAAACTTCCGAGATTTCCATTCATCCATCCTGAAGCGATGACACCCAGAGTCGGATTCGGAAGTAAGGCGGAGTAGAAATTCAATACGTCTCTAGGAGAGGAGAACCCTAGGTAACTACCTGAAGGAAACCAACGCCAATTCCAGACAAAGATACGAGGCAAACAGAGGGAGCCAGTACATGAAACCCGAGAAGTGTCTTTTCCTCGTGTTCGTCACGCTAATACACCCATAAAATAATACAATTTAGTGAGTTAGTGGTTACACTACTCACACTATGTGTTAGGTAAATCGCCATTTCCCGATGCCAGTAACATGATTTGAGCGGATCCTAACACCTCTATTGAGGACATTTAGCCATAAGTCTTCATGAGCTTTTCTTCCTGCGGACTTCGTTCCGAACTGTTCTCAAATCTTTCCAGGCTGGAGAGTGAAACCTTTCCCAGTATAAAGGTAACTTAGTAGGAATGATTCCCATCTTATAGCTTTTTCCGATACCCACACTCCTACCTTGTACACTAGGACTACATCATAGGGATGTAGGTCGACACTCAGACAATCAATATCCAAGGCACGGGAAAAATTTATGCCTAATACAATAAGGAAAAATATGTCCAGGGTTAACCATCGTCTCTCATCCGCTTGAGTTCCTTTCCGTATAGGGAAAAACCATGCCTCTGTGCAAGCGTAACCAATCCACTAGCAAGAGACCTACTCTCCTACTCGATAAAGCTACATTCCAGGCTGTAGTCTCGGCAACCGTTGCAGCTGTCAGGGCTCAGCTGAATGCTAACAACGCCAATGTTAGCAAGAGCCCTATCAGGAATTCTGATCCCATCCACAGACAACAGCAAACCTCAACCGCATACCCAACCACCCAAGGACCTCAGCCAACTTTACTAAAGAGAAGGTTCCAGAACGGGGAGGGAAGTACCTCGGCTCAAGGTCCTTCCGAAGGAAAACAAGCTGAGGCAGCCAATACCCCTGTCAATCCTTCCCTCCCGACTTCAAGAATACCATACCTAGGAAACCTTCCCCACCGCAGCGAGTATAGTTACCACCATCGTGATAGCTGTCGAGAACTCTTTTGTGCTAGGTGCAATATGAAGGGTCATGCTGCTCATGTCTGCATAATCCTGGTTGAGTTTTTTACATCAACCACCAATGTGGCGACCAATACAGTTTGCCACCTATGTGGTGAGATTGGACACTTCAAGAAGGACTGTCCAACCGAAGGAAACAACAAGGACATAGGAGGAGTCTAACTCTAATGCTTAGGAAGAAGCAACAAGGAACCTGATAGATTTTTGGTACGTCTCTCAGTCTCAGCTAACTAATCGAAAACTTTAAAAAGCTAATTCTAAATGTAAATACTTTCCCGTTAAGGCGAAAGTCGCAGCACTGTTATAAGATTTAAAATTTTCATCAGGTAAAACTATAACAGCTAAATATATACGTTACGGCCATGTATAATTGAGATGGATAGACCTAGAGTGAGTGAAGGCCGCCTCATTTCCTGTTCCTCGTTTGGTTGTGGATTTAAGACGGAGTCGCTCAGTCAACAGTCCTCCCCCACCTTAATTATACATGACTAGTATATGTGAGGCGATTATAGAAATGCCTCGTGAGAATCCATTCATGAAGGTACTTTACTCAGAAACACTCAGTCACCTCTATAGTTCCGCGTCGACTCTATCGGTCCAAGTATCCACGACAGTGATACACGAGATGAAACCCGAGATGCCAAGAAACTGGTGTGCCCGTTCGAAACACGACTCTATTGACCCTCATTCTATATCATGTCGATGTATGCCAACTTTGATGACTCTATCGATCATGGTTTGACTTAGTGCAACCGTGTGTAACTCCCTAGTGCTGTGTAAAAAGAACTCTCACCGTAGCCATTTCGACAAATAAAGGTTCTTCCGAACCTAAACAAAATAACAATAATAAAGAATAATGTGATCCGTCAGTCGTCACTCTTATTTCAAACCTTCCTAAGTACCCAGGAGAAGGTACCGAATGCTGTAAAATAACAATAATTTCATGAATTTTTTTGGTTTACATATGGATTGGTGATTGTTTTTTCTGTGTAGATGGAAAGGTCTCAACTAGATGCACAAACTGTTGATGTTGATGCTCCCCAAACCATTGATGTTGATCTTGATGTAGATGAAGGAGATGATGAAGTAGTTGCAGATAATAAGGGTGGTGGCCATAGAGTATCTTGGGTATGGCAACATTTTGATAGAGATGTCGTAAAGAAGGGTGCTAAGAAAGTGAAATGCCCATATTGTTCAACAATGATGTGTGAAAATTCAAAGAAAAATGGTACGAATGCATTGGGAAATCATTTAAGACTCTATTGTCCAACATCTCCTATTTATGACCCTAAAGGCAAAGTTGGTGATACGAAAAAACAATCTGTGTTGAGTTTCAAAAAAGTGGGAGACTCGGGGGCTACTTCTTTGGAAGTTCATTCCTTCAGCCAAGAGAAATGTAGGAATTCCTTAGCTCGCATATGTATCAAAGACAATCAACCTTTTAGTATAGTTGAAGATGAAGGAGTTAGGGAATATTCACGGGATTTGCAACCCCTATTTAAATTGCCTTCAAGGTGGACTTTTGCAAGGGATTGTTTGCAGATATACAAAGAAGAAATTCATAAATTGAAGGATGTTTTAAAAAATCAAACCATCTCCATTACGACTAATACTTGGACATCCATCCAGAACATTAACTATAGTTGTTTAACGATACATTGGGTTGATGAGACGTGGGTTTTGAGAAAGAAAATTCTGAACTTTTGTCCCATTGCAAATCACAAAGGTGTAACCATAGTCAAACTCGTTTACAAATGCTTATAGAATTGGGGAATTGAGAAGGTGTTTACAGTGACCGTGGATAATGCTTCCTTAAATGATGGGGAAATTAGGTATCTAGCGACCATGCTTAGGGGAACCCATGCTTTTTTGGATTGCAAATATTTGCATTTGAGGTGTTGTGCTCATATCATAAATCTTGTGGTTAGGGACGGGTTAGAAGAACATTTTAGTTCCATCACAAAGATCCGAAATGCTATGAAGTATGTGAGGTCATCGGGTGCTAGGTTTGCTACATTTCTAGAGTGTGTTGAGAAAGTGGAGATTAATTGTAGTAAGAAACCATCCCTTGATGTTGACACAAGATGGAATTCTACATTTTTGATGTTAGAGACGGCAGAAAAGTATGAGGCAGCGTTTGATAGGTGTTTTATATACTATTAAGTATGATATATATATATATTTTTTTATAATTTACATACTAATGATTTTATTGAATCTTATTTTTTTATTGTAGGCTTCTTGCGATTGATAGTGGTTTTAAAACTTTTTGTGGAAGTGAGGTTGATGATGGTGAAGTGACTATGAGAAAAAGAAGAAGAAATGAGAAAGTTGTGGGGACTCCTGATGCCAACGATTGGGAGGTTGATAGGTGTATATATATATACACACATATATTACTTCATTTATGAAATCTGATATTGTTTAATTGCTTTGGTAGGTATTTTATCGACTATTTGAGGATCTTTTACAATGTCACAAAAAAGATATCTGGGTCTAAGTATGTGACAACAAATATATTTTTTAAGGAACTTGTAACAATGCAAGCAAGCATAACTAGAATGTGTGCAAACACAGACAAGAAAAAGAAAAAGATGGCCTAGTCAATGAAAGAAAAATACGACAAATATTGGGACAATATTGAGAACATGAACTTCATGCTTCATATTGTTGTAGTTTTAGATCCCCGCAACAAGATGTATTATTTGGAGTATTGCTTGGAGTTGATTTATGGTAAGAATTCTACCAAAACAAAAACAATTTTGGAGCATGTCAACAAAACACTAGAGGACTTGTTTCAACACTTCAAGAACAAGATGGAGAGAGAAAGATGTGAAAAGACAAGGAGTGCATCGTCTTCTACACCTAGGTATTTTGATTTTGGGCATGGAGTTGATATGGAAGACGATTTTGAATGGTTTATGGAACAACGTTGACATGGGGTTAATAAAACAGAGCTTGAGATTTATTTATCAGATGGGATGGAAAAACAGGCGGAGGATTTCCAGATTTTGGGGTGGTGGAAATCTAATTCAACAAAGTTTCATGTACTTTCTGAAGTGGCGAAACTTGTTTTAGGAATGCCAATGTCCACAGTTGCATCAGAGTTGTCATTCAGTACTAGCGGGAGGGTGATTGATGAAAGTAGAAGCTCCCTTACACAGGTGACTGCTGAAGCTTTAATTTGCACACAAGATTGGATACGGGACACCCCAATTGATATCCAGTTTAAAAATATGACGATTTTATATATGGAAGAGAAGCGAGAGAAGTTGGTGCCAATAGAAACCGGTAAATATTTTACTATTTTTTACATAATTATAAATTTGTAATTATATATGTTTATAATTAATTAATTACATACTATTGTTTTATGTTTGTAGAGGAATTGGGGTGTGGTCAAGGGAGTTGCATGGAAGAGGATTTTACTTGAATTTTAAAGGTTTATAACTTAATTATTATAATTTTATACTTTTACACAAGTTTATTGCTCAATAATCATTGATCAATACTAATGTTTTTTGGTTTGTAGATGAATGGGGAAGTGGTGAAGAGATTTACATGGATGTGGATTAAAGATTCGTGTTTGCGTGTTTTGGACTTTTGGTTGTAATTGACTATTTGACTATTTCGGACTTTGTGTTTTAGTGATTGTGTGTTTGGTTGTAATCGTCTAATCGACAATTTCGGACTTTGTGCTTTAGTTTGATTGTGTGTTTGGTTGTAATAGACAATTTGATTGTAAAACTCATGTTTTTTGAAGTATTTAACTTCAATTAGGTGTTCTTTGAATTATTTAACTTATTGCTCCATTTCTGGAAAATGGGTTTAAACCCAAAACCTATGGGTTTAAACCCAGAAACCGTAAGTGTATGGGTTGAACCCAAGAAACCGAGAAACCGCCCAAACGGATATCAGAACCCGAGAAACCGAACCGACCAGAAACCGATGCTATTGGGTTCTGAAAACCAGCAACCGATCATTTACGGGTTGGGTTGGGGTCCAAAACCAACCCAAACCGACCCATGCACAGCCCTACTGATCGACCTCAACTACACCTCTACAAGTCGAACCTTCAATCTGGTGTTACCTCGGCTTTCAGCTTCGTTTGATTCCACTGCTTCTAGCATCACTCTACGTCTGTCTCCGCCAAGTGTCTGCCTCTGCTGCTGATGTCTCAGTTTTTCGCCTTTGCTTAATATAGCTTCTTCCTCGGTTAACTCTCACTCAGTTACACAATGTGATTCGATTTTGTCATTTCTTGCTAAGTAACATAGACCCAACTTACACTGAGATTTGGTAAAACCTTGAATGAAAATAAGGATTTAAGGTAATTGGTGTTGGAACTTTAGTGTTCTTTCAGATTTTTAAGAATATGCTTTCTTTCATATATTTTTTATTATCAGATTCTAAGAATATGCTTTCTTTCATGTACTTAGAATTAAAACGAAATTGGAAAATTTGATACTTGGATTAAATGGTAGATTTGAGTACTAATTCAAAACAAAACAAAAGCAAATTTAGTCTATCTAGACTAAAGATGTGTAATATCTTCAAAAATAAAAACTCGATTCAAAATTAAAAATCTAAAGACGGTACCAACCTTATGTTCTTCCCATCCATTCCTTTTAGTTCTGATGGCTACTGGAAGTTATGTATTGGTGAGATGCGGTTGGAGGATGTTATGATGGAGCATAATGAAGGTTTAGGAGTAGCCATTAGCAGATGATATAGGATTACACATAGGTATTTAAAATAATTTGTCCCTGTTTTTTTGGGATTCATTCTATTTTTTTGCAAAATAAAAAGGAATGGGATATCCGACATTTTAATTTCTGATTTTCAGCAATTGTGGTAGATTATAGAATACTTTATAAGTTAAATTCATGATATTCAACCCAAATTTAACTAAATAAGAAAATATTTTGAAGTATAATGCTAAAAATGCTGAAATAAAAAGAATTTCAAGGTACAATTATGAAAAGTTCAAATTAAATCATAATAATCTATTGCTAAAATAGTAAACTGAAATAGCATTGTAGTTATGTATTCGACAATTTTAGCAAGCTTTTAAAGTACCTTTTATGTAGGAATCTTAAAATTTCTAAGAAAAGTGAAAGGTGAAATCAGTTGTAGATGCAAATGGAGGAGCCAATGCAAGAAAGTGAATGGAGAAGAATGTAAAAATCGTTGAAGAGGTAAATAAATTATTGTATGTTGTTTAAACGGGAACTGTTCTTTATACGTTCATTGTACAATATTTTTTAATAAAAAAATCGAATAAAAACTATAATGATAACTATCATAAACATAAAAAAAAAACGAATTATGAAAATACTAACCTGTTGTTGTTTCTTTGTCTTTGGTGGAACACGTGAAGAAAACGAAAACAGTGAGAAGAGCTGAAGAGGAAAACCATTGTGATGTGCAAACAGAATGGCAGGGGCAACATATTCTACAACCGCAAGAAGCCTTTAACTTCAACAGGTACATAAATAATATATGAAGAATACGTGGGTTGAAATCTATTTCCTGCTTTTTTAGAATTTACTCTATTCTAAAAGGAATAGAATGATGAAAAAATGTTGACAACCTTAACAATAATAAAAAAACGAATCTTAACAATAAAAAGAACGAATTAAATGGGAGAGGATATAGTAATGCCGAATTCAATATGGAAAAAATGTACACTGTGGATAAATAGCTTTTTTAGTTATGATTGAATTATATAGATTCTAAAATCATGGCTCATTTATAGGGATTACAAAATCAAGTAGATATGTAATTGAATAAGATTTAATGAGTTTCTGTTTTAAAAAAACATGCAGGAAATAGGATTATAACAAACACCCATTTATTTTGGAATGAACGGAAGTTGATGAGAAAATTAAATCGAAGGGAAATTTAGATGATGGGAGCGGGAAAATTCGATTTGGGGTGGCTTGGAGAATTCCACGGGGCAACAATCTACTTATTTATTAGATTAGTGGATATATTTTATAAAAATTATAGCAATTACACCTTAAATTGTCTACAATTATGTTCATATATATATATATATATATATATATATATATATATATATATATATATATATATATATATATATATATATATATATATATATATATATATATATATATATATATATATATATATATGTTTAAATATTTCTAGCAGCTATTGTGTATATGTATGTACGAATGAGAATGGAAGAAATAATAAATCCTCAAATAAATCATGTAAGCGTATTATATTAATGTTTGCATATTTATTTATTGTAATTCATTAACTTCCTAAAACATATTCTTCTCCCCTCTTTGTCTTCAAACGATCGGCCTCAACTCTACCATCACCACCTCGAAATCAAAGCTTTCAGTTTCATCTTGCATTCGTGCATTGTCTCTCTAACAACCGATGTACATCAAAACCATCATGACGACGTTTGTGATGTGATGGTTTTGAACATGAATAAGAGTCCAGATCGCACAAGAAAAATGAAAATAACGTCCCAATTCCTGCAGAGGTATTATGATTTTTTTTTCTTTAAATCTAATTGTTTATTTCATGATTGTTATTGTATGTGATTACTTTAGATGAATTTGATTAGTATGTTAATGTGTTTGGTTGTACTTTATCTTATTGCATGTAAGGTGTTTGTGAAAATGTCTAAAAGAGAACTTGATATAATATATTCAAGTTGTTTGATCGGTGGGTTGCGATGTGTATTATCTAGTGATTGATTTTGTATATGATTGATTTTAGGTGAATTTGATTAGTATGTTAGTGTATTTATTGTGTTAGTGTGTTTGGTTGTACTTTATCTTATTGCATGCTAGGTGTATTCTGCTACTTGTATTTCGCTTGACAAGGTCGGATGTGTATATACATGCTTGTATGTGTTCAATAGGTATTTGATGGACATAACCAAAGAGCAAAATATAAACAATAACCTCAATATATGTGTAGAATACTCATAAACTCAATCTATTAGAATATTTAAATGATCATTTGGTTAGAAATAACATAATTCTGTTAAAATATACAACCATTCGTTCTATTTTTTGTTTGTTATGGTTCCTAGTGGTAGGAGGTTCATTTGTTGATCTTTTTATATATTTTTGATGTTTCTATCCCTAGCTTTGTTTTGCATAAATGAAGTGTTTTCTTGTTTAGTTTCTTTTGTGTTTCTGAAGTTGTTGGCTTAAATTCTTGTTTTCTATGGTATGGCTTGTTCTCCTCGTACGATTTTTACCAAAATTAACATCTAATTTGGCATCAAATTAACTTATTATAATTCA